ACCATTACTGCGTAGTAGACTTTACTTTCAGAGAGCTACTATACCATCTGGCTTCGCCTCAAACCGGTAAGATAGTTAGTGATTGTCAGGCACCCATTGTGCTTGTTCTGTGTTCAGTCCCATTCCTAAGGTAGTAGGGATCCTGTATAATTGGTATCCGGAATTTGGCATTTTGTTTTTGTTTTTAGTACAATGATGCTGCATGAGGCCATTTTGAAATTCAAAGTATGCCAAGAAGAAGAAAAGTCCTTAACGGAGCGGTTACTATTTAACAATCACGTATTAACTCCAAATTAAAGTCCTACTCAAAATAAATAATATTATCCCACCAGCTGGTTCAGAATAAAACAAATCCATAACTACGTAGTAGACTTTACATTCGGAGAGCTACTATACCATCGGGTTTCGCCTCAAACTGGTAAGATAGTTATTGATTGTCAGGCACCCATTGTGCTTGTTTTGCGTCCAGTCTCATTCCTAAGGTAGTTGTGGTCCTGTAGAATTGGTATCCGGAATTTAGCTTTCTATTGTTTTTAGTACTATGATGCTGCATGAGGCCATTTTGAAATTCAAAGTATGCCAAGAAGAAGAAAAGTCCTTGAGCGATTGCTATTTAACAATCGCCTATTAACGCCGAATTAAAGTCTTACTCGAAATAGATAATAATATCTCACTAGCTGGTTCAGAATAAAGCACATCCATAACTGCGTAGCAAACTTTACTATCAGAGCTACTATACAATCTGGCTTTGCCTCAAAGCGACAAGATAGTTAATGATTGTCAGGCGCCTACTATGCTACTTGTCTGTATATGAGTATATGGATGACTATCTCATGTAGCCTAACTAGCTACCTGCGCTGAGCGGTCACGAAGTCACATGATAGCTGGCAGTCAGTAGAAGCCGATAAATTACAATCAATAGCCTTACGCACTGTATAGTTGGTTCAGAATCGACAAAATTCGTAACTGCGGAATGAAATTTGCCTTCAGACAGCTTCTATACAATCTGGTTCTGTCGTATGTAGTATGTGGGGACCAGATTATCAACAAAAAAAAAAAGCCAACCCCAAACCCCAAACCACAGAATCATCAAATTCTGAGTTTTGGGTCCGGAACCAAATATTATTGATATTAGAATCATCAGTAATATTAATGGAAGAACCGGTGAGTTAAATCGGGACCCTGCGTGTGAGAGAAACGCTTGAGTAGAAACCTGAGTCTAGTGTATAAGAAAAAACAAACAACGACTCAGTTCGGTTCTCTCAGACTAAGGACTGTTCTAGCCGTGATAACCATACTTGGGAAGAGGTCCATTGTTTCCTTTGGTCGTATCTTGCCAGCTACTCTCCATACTCTACATTTCTAACAATTGCTTTACTTAGATATGTCAAACCAAACAGAAAACAAGCTGACGGTAAGTAAGAAGTTAGTAAGCAATTTAGTCTGTCGAAAATTCGAAAAATAATACTTTAGTAGAAGAAGCAAAGTACGACGAATCGGCAACGAACAGCTGTGAAGGGATTTATCCGCGAAAGTTGTCGGAGAACGTAAACCAAGTAGGACAGAGTCGGGGAACAAGCTATCAGCCAGCGAGGACGGACTTCCAGCCAGCAAGAGACTGAGAGGCAAGACGAGAGGGTGAAGACGGAGCCACCCCTCAAAGAGAAACTAAACCGGGGAAATTTGAAAGGTAGTGCCTGGTATCCTCAAAATTGGTTTGTCATCTGGTGAGAAGTGGTGTCAGGGTGATTAATTATTCAATGTTGGGAAACAGAAATTTAAACCAAAAGTGTTACAGTTATTATTCCATTCGCTACTACGTCAAGTAACCTGACGTCACAAACCACAGCTGTTTCGGTTAGGGACGTGAAGATAGTGTTACATCTCATAACCTATGTACGTTAAAATACAGTTGCATCTCATAGAGGTCCACTGAGAAAACAACAAGCAGTAGGACACACGAGGCACACAGATCTTAGATTTTTTTGTAGGACGAATCAAGACCAACGAGCGTTCAGTACCAAAATAAATAGTCGAAGGCAAACTCTCAATAGAAAGGATCAACCTTCTTCAATAAATAAGATCACACGTAAACACTAAAACACAAGCCAACAAAACATTACAATATGATTACATGTAGAATATATACAACAATACGTTGAGTTTGATGCATGCTAGAACCATGAATTATAAATATCGTTGATAAGGAGTTCTTAAAAGGCGTGACAAGATACCAGTTCGGTACAGGACCGAACAGGATGTGTCAAATCAAAGCTAAGATCTCATATGACTGATAGAATAAGTCACAGACTACTATCACACACGATAAAATGAGTACGGCTCAGATAACACGTGACAGATTAAGTCTGAAAAATAAACAACGTAAACAGATTCCCAATCCCAGGAAGGAACACACATCAGTATATATTTCCCACCGAAGTGCAGCAAGCGTGCTTAAAGGTAAGTAAGATAAATCGAATTTATATATATATTTACACAAGTTACCAGCAAAGGCAAGGCAAGGGTGGTGAAGCGTTTATTCGGAACGAGTATAAAACAAGCCTTAACCAATAACTTGCAACACATACACTAACACAGACAACGCAAAATGCCAACAGCAACCAGGGCAGGGATATATGGTGGAGACGGGGATGACACCAATAAGCAGGGAGCGTACAACAGCTCAGAAGGGGAATCAACCCCAGGTAACAACTCGAGTGCGTCAGCAATGCGTTTAGAAATAGACACGAGCATTTGTCATGTTAAGTGCTTCCTGGTCAGTAGGAACATCCCCAAACTAGAAGCAACAGCACCTGTAGCTATCGCAAGTCTACACAAGATGAGAGTAGGAATTCATGATCAGCAACCTGAGCGTCGCATGCCTCTAGTAGACATAGAGCTCAGGAAGAGATACGATCAAGTCAGCGATGCATGTGGTGACGACGAGGACGATGAAGTATGTCTTATTAAGCAATATATTAGTGAGCTAGAGATCATGTGTTCACGCGTAGGTATTAAGATGAATGAACCAGCAGTTTTTGAACTTCTAAAGCTAAAAGCCGCTGAATTTCCGAAGTTACCGAGTGATGATTCCTTCAAAACGGAAAATTGTAAAGACATTATAGAGTTTACTATGCAATGCAGAGGCGTGTTCTTAGCTAAGTCCATGACACTCTGTCAGTATCCAACACTAGTGAGATATCTATTAGATTACACTGAGGCAACTGAGAAGACCAATGGGGGTTCTCAATGAAATACACGACTCAGAGACGCAGATCACAAATCACTACACTGATCCAAAGCAATTCAATAGAATCGTTCTTGATAGACTCAGACATCACCCTGTAGACTATCAGTTAGAAAGCTTCTCAATGACACGGATAACAAGGCACTGAATGTGGAAGCGCGCACAGAGCGGATGCATAGGACGATGCAGGTAATAGAGAAGGATACGGAAACTCGGAGAAAGAGCCAATACGTGCAACTCCCCAATACATGCAACTCCTCAAGGAAGCCAGATACAAGGCACTCATGTACGATGGACAGCAGGACAAGGTAGACGCAATCACTAAAGGAGACAAATTGCCTGATGGAAGTGACAGTCACTTAGATATGAAGCAGAGCTTGTCCTATTCTTTTACAGAAGCATCCAAATGAGCAGCAACAGCAAAGATGCATGCAGACCGGTTGTTCAGAGAGCGGAAGAGATACCACTCGAATGCACATCAAGCAACGAACACGGCTACACACAGCCAAACACAGAACACCGTACCATCAGTCCAAAAGCGTCACAAATCAGACAATGGCACACCAAGACAGCCCAATTTAATAGGACAACCCTAAGAGAAGGAAGGGGCGCGCAAGGCACGTACTTGTTTCTATTGCAAGGTATCACCGGCTCCACATCGCTTTAGCCAATGACATATGAAGGCTGCAAATCAAATTAAGAAGGCTGACGAGCGTGCTAAGAGTGACCTGCAATCGACACGACACTCAATTACCACATGGAAGGTAGATGAGCTAACAGGTAGCGATGAGTCCTGAAACAACTGAGGTGAGGAAACAAACATGATTGACTTGACTGACAACTTAAGATGTATATACAAATGAAGAAACGTTGTCAATAAATGCGGATGATTTGAGTTACCAACTTTTATCCTTGCTTCCCGCACCACGAGACCAAATAATACCTTTTGACATACAAATTAATGACAATACGTACAGGGCACTCGTAGACTCAGGCACACGACGCTCATGTATGGACAAAAGTATATTAACTGAACTATATCTATCAGTCAGAGCGCAACTAGGCTACATACAATTAGCACAAATATATGTGATAATACAAAGAACAAGGTCAACCAAAGTATGTGACATTAATTACAGAGGAATGAAAACCTATTCGTGTTTTTTAAGAGTTGGACCTACCAGACAAGGAGGCACCAATACTACTATGTATGAACATTATTCCATACATAAGTAGATATATTGCGGGATTAATAAATCTACTTTTACCAACAGATACAAAAAAGAAATGACTACTCACTCCATATGAGAAAGACCCCGAGCACGAACAAGAAGGTTCAGAGAGTCACTTGCAGACCTAGAAACCAATGCAAATATACCCCCTTGACGTACATTGCAACCTGCCAGGCTCCAAAGTCACTGTACAAATGAGGCATACCAAAGTAAACTTTGTACCACATAAGCACATTCCACAAACGGATGAAAATGTGAACAGGTGGCTTACAAATGGCTACTTATACAAACGAACAACACCAACAACGGTGAACTTACCATTGTTATCTACAGGTGAACATGACCAAACAGATCTCCTCGAGAAAGTAAGGACATGTTTTGACTTAAGCGAGATTGATTACCAATACGAGCAAGGCATATTTGTGCTAACAAAAATAAAAGAGGTATTACACAACCTACAAGAAGCACGATTCTTCTCAAAACTAGATCTCGCGTGGGAGTTCCACCACTTCCTAGTAGATGAAGCAAGCAGACACTTTTTTCTCATGGAGGGGAGCGCAATACTTATTCAAGTCGGCGCCATTCAGTCTGTACTCACTCACAGCACAATTCCAGAGAGTTATGGCAAACCGTGGATGAAAGTCTTTGCATGTCTCCCAGAAGAGCGAAATCGCAAGACAGCACATGAAGTAAACAAACGATTGAACGGAGCAAACTTTCGACTTAGCCACAATGATCGAAGTGGTTAACATTCTGGGGGTGAAAGTCACCACAACATGACTCAAAACCGATCTTGAAAAATAGGTAAGATTGATGGACTGGCAACTATCCAGAACAAAAAGAGAGCCGCACAGAGTGTGGGACTCGCAAACTATATGCATGACCATGTACCTAACTTTGCTCACACAACTAAACACTTCCGCAACCTAATGAAAGGTAAAATGAGCCAAAAAGTATCTATGTGTACACCGGAACTGGAAAAGAAGTGAAAAGAATTCAAAGTAGCCATTGCATGTTCGGCGACCCTAGCATACCCAGTGTATGGGGTACAGTTTCAATCATGAACGCTGCTAGTGACTATGCCATAGGAGGATAGTTGGAGTGAGAAGAGACATTCTCTACTTCTCTAAAGGCTTGGACTCGGCCTATCAACGCTATGGCACAAACATCAAAGAGCTACTAGCACTGGTATACAGTCTAAAACATTTATCTGAATCCATCAATGGAGAGGACACTAAACTTTGGATGGATTATAACGGGCTTACGCAAATGAACAGCCAACAGACGTTACACCCAATACTAGCCAAATGGATAGCAAAAACATTCCACCACAACTTCTCCATCATACATGTCCCAGGCAAGGACAACCAGATGGCAGATATGTTGCCGCGTCTACACAAAGACACATTCAACACCAAAACGTCGGAGGTATTAAAAGACACGAACAAAACAACACGCAACAGTCAAGAGTACGCCACCTTGGAAACAAACATTCGAGTAGCCACACCAGTCAGAGACTGGGAGCTGCACCCTAGATTCTATAAAGAAGCAGAAAGAAGGTTTGACAAATCACAGTAGATCTTTTTTATTATTGTACACATATTATAGACTCTAGTGGTCTATTGTACACATACTGTAGATTCTAGAGCTTTACTACACAAATATTGTAATTTCTAGTCGTTTATTGTTCCGCTATACTTTAATACATATAGCTCATTACATTTCAAAGGACTACAATACCAACCCGAGTATTGCTCCGCATCCCTTCATTAATACCACGATGACTACAAAGCAGACATACCCGTCCCCACACACTTCGCTTTGCGTGCAAGTGTTTCCACTGAGGAATCTCATACTTCCTCACCAAATGGATCGTGCGCAAGTGCCAGCCAACTGCTCATATCAGCCAGCCGTCCGAGCAACCTTCTATTGAGTCCTAAACCCGACGGAAGTCCACGAATAAGTGATCAGTCAATACTCCGTCATCCTATGCTATATACTGACGTTTAGTATTTGACTTTGACTTCTTTGCACCCGCATCGCCTACCCATGTCCTCGCAGACAAATGTCTTTCATCTGCGAGGGGAATTATTTCGCCATAACCCTCCCGCGATACAATCGCGCTCCAGCCGCACATACCCTCACATATACAGCGATACAATCGGGGGCTTTCATCACGCTCCAACCGCATATACCTTTACATATACACGAGTGGTGTATCGTAGAACAAGTAGTCATGAAGCGGTCCATATGTGCCTTTGCTAGGTGCATGTTGTGTTCAAAGATCGTGTAGACTTGCTGAGTCCCCGTTACACCACACCACATTACTCGCGCATTCCCACCAGGTTCATGGGTTACCCACCACTCAATGCGCCAATCGTCATTTGACCCCAACGCTCGCCCTCACCGTCTACCAAATAAATCCCTACTTCCGCAGCTCCCGCTGCTCGTACATATCTTAACCGTCCCGATGTCTCCTTAAACATATACGCACGTGCCACCTTCCTGGAATTTGGAGACGCATCTAGAGATGCCGAATCTTCAAACCCTGCAACCCTGCATCTCTAAACGATCGGTCGTCTGACACTGAGGACCAATAGAGAGCAGTTGCGATGCTGACTGGAAGGGGCTCACAGAGTCACATAGCTTTTGGTGGCAAACACATACGGATCAAACCGTATCACACTTAAAACGCCGTCTGAAGTCGTCTGGAAACCCAACAGACATATACAGATCAGGTTGCGAATCCATCAGCTAGATGGTCGTACTTATGTCCTGGTGTAAGCTCCCTTACACCCTGCAATCCTATAGTATGTTGGCTATGTGGTGCAACCACCCCATGTGCACGTGCTGGTTACACGGCGTATTGCAGAACAGCACCAAGATCGCATATCCATGCGCGTACATACCAGCCCACTGTGACGGTGATGGTACGAGAGCCCGACTGTATAGCGCATAGGCGTAACCTCGTGCAGGTGCAACTCCCACGGCGGTCAACTCTGATACAGGTACACCGACCGGAATAGCCAGACATCTTTACCTCAGCGTATCCCGTTGTTGGGCTTTATGTGACTGCTCGCCGCCTCCGTTGCCATAGTGATTTCCACTTGTCAGCGAACTCGCACCCCCATGCATATACGCAGACCCTCCAGACTGTTGTGGCTGCTGCTGCAGCAGCTGTTGCTGTGGTAAGTGTACTGTGTTATAGTCATATACATGCATGCCCTGTCCCTGTCCTGCATCCAGGACCGATCCTCTTGACATGCCCGCGTACGGCATGCCATACCCGGGCATGTACATACCCTGATACCCCTGCGGCTGCATGGTTGGCTTGGTCGTGGTCATAGGGTGATTAGGACTCGCTCGCGCCTGAGTCTGGTCAGCAGGAGAACGGTCGAGTGTATGCTGATTCTGTAGCTGCTTCTGCTGCGCATGTGCCTGCGCATGTGCCAGTGAGTGGGCTCTGAACACCTCTCCTTGCTCTCCCGGTCTTTGTGACTGTGCATACTCACGGGTGCTCGGCTGCCCTGCGGCACTCGTGCGAGCTGGTTGGGGCCCGTTACCACCGACTCGTCCGGGCGACTGCTTGGTACCCGCACCCTGCGCATTGGCATTGCGGAACGAAAACGCCTGAGCTCCACTATCCATGCCCTGCTGCACTAGCCTCCGTTGTTGTTGATGCTGCTGCTGTTGATGTGAAACACTCTTGGACCCCATCGCCTCGTTGCCTTTGCCTTGGCTGAGACGCTGTGCGAGCTGCAGCTGCAGCATGTAAGAATCTTGTGAGTGATTCGACCCCGACTTATACGCATCAGGTTGTAAACGTGCTTGCGCCTGTGCACGACTACCGCCGGAATCGAGGATCGTCTCCAGACCTCCTAAACCCGCATTCGCGTCCTCATACGACTTATTCCTAGTGTTGTTGTTGTTGTTGTCGAACCTTGAATAGTCGCTGCCTGGCCATCCGCTCGTCTTCTGCATGTTCTGTGAGCTTTGCTGCGCCCAGTGCTCGGCCTGTGCGATCACCTGCGCTTGAGATGGTCTGTTCTTGGCGTCACCCGCAAGACCATGTGGTTGTGGTTGCGGTTTGGAGTAAGAAGCCATCTCCAGGCCCATACCTGTGTTTGTGTTCATGAACAGACCCCCTCCGTTACCGCCAATATACGCAGCACCCAGTTGGCCATGGTTGTACGCCTGTGTCTGTACTGGCCCCTTCGCACCACCGGTCTCCTTCTCCTTCTCCAATAGTTCCGCATCAGCTTTCAACTGCTTTTTGGTTTTCTTGCGAGGCTTTTTGGCGGCCTTGGTAGTGGCTATACCAGGGCCCAGTAGCCCATCCGCACTTGCACCCGATCTCTTAGTACCTTGAATTTGGGTTCCCGGGTTGTTGGTGTTCAAATTCTGGTCCAAATCAGTGTTGTTGCCGAGAATAGGATTGCCACCCAAATTAGGCGCGCTACCTAAATTGGAATTATTACCCATACTAGAATTGGTCCTGCCCAAATTGGGGTTACCTCCCATGAACGAAGAGGTTCTAGCTTCGTGATTGCTACCGATAGCAGAGGGCCTGTGCGCATACGCTGCGCTGTAAGGGGCACCCGCCCCCATCGTATTCACACCGTAGATACCCCCTCCACTCACACTACCCTCGTGCACACCACTGCCAAGCTCTCCCTGGCCGTAACTGGGATGTGCGTTGGGGCTGGGACGAGAATTGGGGTTGGAGTTGTTTTGTGAGTAGGGACTTGTCTTGGGATTTGAAGTAGAATTAGGATTAGAGCTAGGATTAGAATTAGGATTAGATGTAGCATTGGCACCCAAATTATTTGGCGGATAGCCATACCCATTCCTCTTTGCCTGATGGGTATCTCCAGGCTGTGGGCGTCCCATGGATTGGCCTACAGATGAGGTCATCGACTGTTGGCTGCCCTGTCCTTGAGCATATGGACTGGTCCTATACACGGTTCCGGGTGCATGCGATGTACCGTACCTGCCAATTGGTCCCCCCATACCTGCTGGCATACCCCTGCCCGCACCCTCATACACAGTTCTACCCCGTGCGTGTGCCATACTCTGTTGCTGCTGCTGCTGCTGCTGTTGCATTTGCTGTTGTGGTGTGTATGCGTGAGCCTGGGACTGCTGGCCGTAAATATCCGCTGTACTATTCGTGCGCGACGCGAAGGCCACATGCGGCGGTGGTTGTTGGGACGTTGCATACCCAGGTGTCTGCTGCTGCATTGGGGTTGGGTTTGAATTCGGATTTGGAGTTGGATTTGGGGTTGAGTTAGGGTTTGGTTGTTGCGGTTGTTGTTTCTGCTGCTGTTGTTGTTGTTGCTGTTGCTGCGTGTGGTATGGCGATCCTTGCCCACGTGCCTGAGCGAGTGCATGTGCTTGCGATTCTGCATGGGGACGCGTGTAACCTTTCCCGTACCCATTCGGATTCGGGTGCGTATTTGGTAGTGAGGATAATTGCGGATTCACATTCGCATTCACATCTGTACCAGCTGCATGCTCGCCCTGCGCTTTCGCATGGGCTGCGCCTGTCGGTGTGTTCTTGAATGCGCCCTGCTGTATAGCACTCTTGTTAACTGTGTCCAAGTTTGCTGGTCCCGATGTACCGGCACCTCCCGGCCCATAATTAGGACCGGTGGACTTAGTTATGGCTACACCACGCGGCGGAGGACCGATTCCTGCTACACCGCCAGTCTTCTTCTCCGCCTCTTTTAGGCCGGCAACAGGCCCTGTCTTGGCCTTTCCCCCCCCACCCGCACTCTCTTTGCCATCAACCTTTGGCGGTACGGTATTGGTGTTGGAGTTGGCTGTGCTTGAATTCTTTGTCTCAGCTTTCTTTTTCTTGGTGTATTTCTTGCGAGGCTTGATCGGCGGATGGGTCACGATAGGCCCGATAATAATGGCGCCCTGGTTTGGGAGTTTGGACTGCTTTTGTCCCAAATTAGCGTTCCCACTCATGCCTTGCCCCTTCGTGGGACTCATTATGCTGACCATAGGTGTACCATTCGGAAAGTCTGGATGTAAAGAACAAGTAACGAAAACAAGCTTTAGAGCTGAACGCGGGCACCCAATACAAATGAGAGCAAAAGCTACGCGCGGGGTGTTTCCATAGTGATGCTCGAAATGGAGAGAGAGAGAGAGAGAGAGGGGGCAATAACAACTCGAGGTAAGCATTATTCGGATCGAACGTCCGCGAAGTACATAGACACTCAAGGTACATTAAACATACTCTCCTCGGTGATCTCAACCAAATTCAGACCAAAATGATTCTCTACCGGTCCCAAGATCATGCCCTCTGGTGCTGTGGTGTTTGTACCATTTCCGCCCTTTTTGCTGTTTGATTTGGTGGCAGGCGGATTGGGTTGTTTCTCCTTAGTCGCTTTAGTTGTATCGGCCTTACTCGCTTTTGTTGAATCGGCCTTACTCGCTTTTGTTGTATCGGCCTTGGTCGCTTTTGTTGAATCGGCTTTGGTCGCTTTTGTTGTATCGGCTTTGGTCGCTTTTGTTGCATCGGCCTTGGTCGCTTTTTTTGTATCGGCCTTGGTAGTTTTCGTTGCATCGGACTTAGTTGCTTTTGTTGCATCGGCCTTAGTCGCTTTCGCTGCCATTAATAGTGCAAAGCGATTGAAGAATATTCAAAGTATGTCGAAGATCAAGTACCTAAATGTATGTTCATATATATATATATATGTATAAATATATATATATATATATATATATACATACATATATACATATATATATGTACATATACTTACACACATATATATACATATATATATATAATTAAGTACAAAAATATATAGTCACACATACATATAGATACACTTATATCAAATGGACAAGACCTTCGCTAAGCGATAACAAAGACATACGGAACGGGATAAAGCTATAGTATGAATGTCACAGGAACAAAGAGCCTTCAAAACATGTACAGCCCGTGCATGAATTCTTATGAGGCGTGTATGGTATGACGAGAGAACTCATTATACGGAGTACCTGCATATACACTGAAACATGAGCATACAGACAACAAATCAAAAGTAAGCATACAAACACACCATTATCACACATGTATTTAGGTATGGGTACATAAGCAACCTATAGGTGTATACCAATACACAAAGAGAATTGCCTGCCCAAAACCCTAAACACTGGTGTGCTTGCAGTACTTACCTGTTGACTTCTTTTGGGCAGCGGGTTTGTGACTGGGTGCCTTCTTTTTAACCACGACTGGAGATTCGAGCGAAGTACCCCGGTCTTTAACTAAGCCCATAACTTTGGTCTGCAATCAGACGAAAGAAAGACGATGTTAACAAAACCATAAATACTATCCTAAATACATGTAGAATAGTAAGCAGTTAAACGTTTAAAAGGAACGATGTTTTAGACAATTTGTTTCGACTACATACATATACTTATACATATATATATATATATATATATATATATATACTTGTATATGCACATGCATACACACACACACACAATATATATATATATATATATATATAAGCATATTGTACCACTCATCTTCAACAGCATACACAAACAACAATGTATACGTCAAGATAAGCCCATACACATACCAGATCAGTGTCTTTCAACAGAATTCCCTCTGTCCTATTTTCCGCCTCCTCTCCATCAGATGAGGCAGTGCTCTTGCCCTTCGCACCTGCCCCGTTTGAATCTGGGTTCTCCTGGTTCTGGTCGCCCGCGTTTCCGATTGATATCTCATCGGCACAACCCAGAGACAGCAGATTCTGGCCCACCCTGATTTCAAACGCACTCATCATACGCTTTTCACTCAGCCCCAAGTGCTCTACTTTCTTCAGCTTCTCAATCTCCGCCAAAAGTGCCGCATTCTCCTTCAGCAGCATTGTTTTCGGGTCAAAATCCGCATTGGCCACACCAGCCGGGGCGGTACCTTGGTACATTTCGGGCGTATTATGTGTGCTGGTGTCCGCGTATATATTGACGATGTTGTTGTTCACCTGCAAATGACTGCAGGGTGTATGCACCGACTGTGCATGTGAGACGCTGTTGTGGGTCGCCTGTGCGCTCAGCGGGTTTGTCGCTGAGTTGGGGCTGGGGTTGGGGTTGGCGAATGAATTCGGTGGCTGTGGTTGTATGTACGGGTTGGTAGTATCCGACGAGGTCTGAGTGGTTAACTGAGATTGTGTGTTACTACTATTCACATATGGAAGGGGACTGGGCAAGTGTGTGGTAGGCGGTGCATTGCTGACCGAACTCTTCGTCGTCTCGGTATTGATGTGCATACCCTGGAATGCGTTGGGCGTTAAACTAGCACCCAGTTGTTCCGAGCTCTTTGTACTTGCACCCGAATCGTTCGTCTTCAGCCGATTCGCACTACTCTGGTCTGACGCTTTCTGTGTTGGATCTGCACGGAATGCATTCAGTAACGTCTCCACATTTGTCAGAGTGTTGCTGCTGTTGTTGTTGTTGCTATTATTAGAACCAACAGGGATATTCTTTACATCAGGCCCAGTACTTCCAGCCACCCCCTTGCTTTCCGCCTTGTCCCCGTTTCCGTCCACAGCCACACCTGTGTTCACCGTCTCCTTCATCTGTGTGTTTGGTTGTGTGTTTGATATCGAGCGTCTAAGTGTACCTGTAGCATTATTCTGAAGCGAGTTTGTGTATGCTGCGGTGCCTAGCTGGCTACTTAGACTGCGCATGAGGGCTCCAGTGCTACCAGCCTGTATTCTGTAATTTAATGCGCTCGGGCCAAGTAAGCTATTGGTATATGCACTGCTATACTGCGACTGGAGTGTACTGGGATTCGGCATATTACTATTATAATTCAACCCCTCACTCAGAGACATGCCCAGAGTATTGGATACGCTACTGGTATTAGTAGTATTCAATACCTGTCCAGTGCTAGTGACAGGTAGGGCTTGTGACGTGAATGATGACCGCATTGATTGCGTTTGTCCGTATGCATTGTGTGTCAACGGATTCGGCTGTGGATACACACTTGTGTTTACGCCTGTATTTACACCACTACCACCACTATACACACCCTGGAAGGCATAAGACATACTACCGAGCGCACTAGTAGACTTGGTTGCACTCGCAGGCTGGTGTGATAGTGTGCGTTTGAAGCTCGAGTAGTCTGGCGCACTCTTACTGGTACTCAGAGGTAACGAGACGTCGTGTGAGAGAGTACGGGGAACATTAGGTATAATAGTGGCGGAGTGTGTTGTACCTGTACCACTAATAGACCCAGTCTTAATACCTGCCTTCCCGAGTATTTCCTCTACGCTGTCCATTTTACACCTTGTTATATAGCTATATGAATGCGCATATAGGATGTGTGCGTGTGATTACGTGTCTGTGCTATTAGTAGCCCATATCGAGTATATGGTGTACAGACTTATACTTGCAGCTTCTCATATGAAAAATTACGTATGTACGTCTAATTAGTATGCCTGTAACTATATTTGTGTATTGAAGACTTTGCCATACTCAAACAGCCCGGGTTGTATCATACGTCAACTTACTATTTCTAATCACTTAATATAGGCGTCTGTATTAAATGACGATACATGGAGTAGCATCGCAAACACCGTATATTGAACCCTCGTATCCTCTCCTACTGATTTAGCACAGCATTGGCTTGATACATGTATACATACATAAAAATATATATCTAATATTGTATGAATACACATAAATAGTTCTCGTCCTCACACAACCACCACAGACGGCGCAGTTCTCATAGACCACAGCCCTGTGTGTGTTTATTTTGCCGCGGAAAGTCAGATACATCTATAGGGGTCTGTTCGTATGACAGTAGTCGGTAACTCGGTATGTATGTCCCAATAAGTTTTAAAAATAAATATAGCCTATAAATAGAACAAGTATTTGGAATTGTGCCATCTCGTTTTTCTCAACCACTTCAGTCTTCTTCACCTCTCATCACCGAAGTGACCGTAGTCGACCTCCCACTTCCCAGGCTCCCACACTCCCCAGTCCCACTGATGTACCCCCCAGGTGACCAAGTCCCAACTGACCCGCCAGTGACCCATCTGAAACTCACCCACCCCACCGTGGCACAGAGTGCAGAGTTGCAGACATTCCAATTACGACTCCTTTGACACATAATAACGCATTCGAAACGAGAATAGCGCACTATGTTTTTATTCTCTTGTGCGTTGTCGTAAATATTATCGTCTATGCCCGTTCAGTAGGGTTTGTGCCTTAGGGTTGTACCGAGGTCCGAGTGCCAACCTGAGATTAAAACGTTATTGTACTAAAACGCTGTAACTAAAACGCTGTAAACTGCCTCAATACGTCCCAATGGTCGTCACGATGGGAGTATATTCGGAGCTTCGAGGTTCAAAGTTTCCGGACGTTTTGAGTCAGGTGTCCTGTAATTGGAATTTTAGGTCTACTTTTCACTAGTCTTTTTATTATTATAAACGTTAAGTTTAAAATTTGAATCAACAAAAGTTTACGTTTAATCTTTATATAAATTGAACCGTTTGCAACCCCCCCCCCCTCCCAAAACCCCACCCCACCCCCAATTGTATAAACGTTGAAGCCTCAAAGGTATACTATGTATACGGCTTTTAGCTTTATTTTTTCTTTAAAAAAACGTAAAACAAGAAGAACTGCTACATAACCGACGGCCGACGACCTGAGAATTACATATATATATAAAATAGACGCAGACGCAGTTCAAATCCCCAATATTTATTTATATAACACACGGTTAACCTTTTTTTAGCGGTTGATTTTAAAAATATATATCGCTTTTGTTTCTGTATAAAAAATACCTAGTCTGATACAGTGAAACAGTGATGAGTAAATTTGTTTTTTTTAAACTTAAAAAAATAAATACTATCTACTGCGGTAGTAATTTATTGCAAGAAAAGTATCAGTTGTAGGAGATCTGATTGGCCAAAAGTGTAATGATTGGCACACATCTATTTAAATGGGCTTGTGTCTGACTCTGGCCATGGTTCACCGCTTTAGACTGTAGTAGTAAGTAGGCTGTATGACGTATGTGTATGGAGTGTGCAGTGTGTGGACTGTAGACTCTCATCACTCATGTGCTCAGTGCGGGTGTCTGGGTGTTCACTGGTGCTCGAATACTCTCGTTCCATCTCTTCTTGGGCTTCTTGGCAGAAGTGCGAGATTTTAAATTTTCATTCCAGGCCCTCAGGGCTCAGGCGCCTCAAGCCCAAGGCTCACGGGTCACGGCTCTGAACACTGATCAGGGGCTCAGCCGCTCAGGCCTCAGGCCTCAGGCCGCAGGCCGCAGGCTGCCGGCAAAAGGTTTATTATTTACAATTTTACATACATACGGTCATACACTCATACATTTTTTTTTAATACTATAAAATAAATATAAATATGTTCTTATTTTAGTTCCAACTCCGCGAGTCCACGGGGTAAGGAGTTACCCCTATCTTTTTTTATTTAAATTTATATATATATATAAAATCTTTTGTAGTAAATAGCTACTGTCTGGAGAGACTGCAGGTCTAAAAAATAATTAATAAAAAATACACCAGTTTAGTACAATCCATGGTTTGAAGTGTGTTACTACAGTACCGTCTAGTCGTTTTGTCGTTTAGTCGTATGCTGTATATGCGTTAAATTCTGCGTTGTTGTTTGTCTCTGGGGTAGTCAAGATAATCAGAATACTGATGCAAACAATAGCAATAAGAGTAGTAGAGCCACGGCCGATACGAAGAAAGTTTGTCTTCAACTATCTTGAGAAGCGGGCCTTGAATAACTTGCTTTCTGCCCGGATATATCGAACCACATTATTTCATATACGAAGTAGTATCTGTATCATCTGTTGCGCATACAAAACATCATCTCTATTTCGTATACTTTATACAACATACAACCACAATGTTGGCGTGCTCGGTAAGACCGCATTGTATGCGGCAGTTAACGGGAAAGTTACCCCACACAATTCACACCAATCTCGTACTACGCACAATAGCACTCGGGGCTAACAGGCTACAGCGCAGTAATATACACTCGTTGAGCTCAGATTCGATCAATCATACATATGGTAGTGGACTTACACACACAAACAGTGTATGCACACACTCACAGAAGCAACTGTATATACCGAGACAGTATATTTCATACACACCGCACCCACCCGTACGCATATCCTGTGCTTACCAGGGAAAGCCCAGGCGGCCAGCCGCGCGACCATCGCCTATAAACACCTACAACACGCCTACACAACCGCATTTATACACGCACTTAGATCACAATGATACGAATATGGCTAGGTTACCAGATAGCGGAGAGGATGCATTCTTTGTGCATGAAACTGATGATGCACACTACATAGGCGTAGCCGACGGTGTAGGGGGTTGGCAGGAGATGGGGGTCGATCCAGCATTGTTCGCTTGGGCTCTTATGAATCATACCCGAGATGCGATTAGAGAGGGTATGCACCTGGATATACGGGATGCATTGAAGTATGCGCATGAGAAAATTGTGGAGGACGGCTTGGTTACGCACGGGAGTAGCACTGCGTGTGTTGTTAAGGTGGAGAAAAAGGTGTGCGTTATGGTACTTTGTTTCACGAATTTGATAACATGAGATGAGCTAAAATTAAAATGCTGTACTCTTAAATTGTACACGCGATGGGAGGACTATATGTATTTACGGGACGATCGAATGCATATATATATATATATGTATATGTATATGTATATGTATGTATATATATATATGTATATTTATGTATATGTATATATACGTATTCATGTATTTACGAGTTTACGTATATATATATATATATATATATATATATATATGTGTGTGTGTGTATGTATGTATATGTATATGTATGTATGCATATATTAATATATATATACGTAAACTTATGTATGCATATATTTATATACTAAGATATATGCATATACATATAATAATAAATATATATATATATATATATATATATATATATATATTTATATTTATATTTATACATATATATATATATATATACATATATATATATAATATTTATATCTATACTTGTATTTGTATCAAATCTTATATAACTATATGTGCACTCTCTCTCTCTCACACACACACACACAATATATATATATATATATATATATACCATACATACATAAATACAACAAACTTCCACATATCTATCTATATATATACATATTCGTATATATGATCTATATATAT